GTCTGCCCCTGGCCTTGTCTTCACTGATGAAATGGAGCTTTTCTATCTTCTCCTTCCACAGATGTAGTCAATTTGATTTCTATGTGTTCCATCTGGTGAAGTCCATGTGTATAGTCGTCTATTATGCTGTCTAAAGAATGTATTTGAAATAAACAAATCTTTTGTCTTGCAGAAATCTATCATTCGTTCTCTAGCAATTAAGACATATAAATTGGAATTTATGCCAAGACACTAAATTATAGAGAATAGAAAAGAAGGAAATGGAACCAAGGCAAAGAACAAGCCATACGCATGAACTCTCTCACAGTTGGGGAATGTGGCTTTGGTAGACTACATAACCTTTAGTTTGGTCCTAATGATTTGGTTCTTGAGGTGGAAATGATCGTTGATCAGAGTTCACCCAATTTGCTAATTCTGGAGCTGATTTTATTTTTATATTCAGTTTGGCTCAATTTTCTCCTTTACCAAAACTTTTAAGTAGAAATGATGTTTCCACCAAAGCAGTTAAAAATATTTAGAATTAAGCAATAATTTGATTCTCCTGTAGAAATCACCCAAAGTACTATAACATCAATTTTGTCTTAATAATAGAGCCTTAGGATATTATCCAGAATCATGGTGTGGCACTGAAAGATAAGCACGGGACTGCTAGCCACAAGTTGGTAGTTCAAACACATCAGGCACTCCTCAGAGTCCTTATACTAGCTTGCTATGAGTCAAAATTGATCCAGTCGTACTTAACAGCAAGATAATATGCAGAATAGTAATTATGGAGATGTACATAAATTCCTTGTTTTTATTTAAAGTGAATTATTTTAGCATTCATATTTCAAAACTTCTTAATTTGATTCTTGTTTTCTTTCTTGTCATCTTTTGATTATTTTCTTTTAGTTTATTGTTTTCATTTTTTTTTCTTTGTGATTCTTTGGAATTCCATTATTTTAACTTGAAAAAAATTGACGCATTATTGCACAAACCAGAATATCTAGACGAGAACAAAGATATTCAAGACATGAATATAAATTAATGATCCAATGTCTCTGAAATTCTCTAAGCTTTTGGAGAGGTGATCTATGTTTGCTTTTAATTGCTTGCCTGCTTTTTCCTATTCTATTATTTTTTCTCTATTTCCACCTCTTAGTTTTTCTAGTCTTCCGTCATTATTTATTTGACCATACTTAAATGATTTGTTGGATAAAATAAGTAAAATGTAAGATGAGAACACGGATATTTAAACCAATGTGGTTTCCAGTCTAATAGTGCTGTGTCATTACTTTGTAATTTTATATTCTTAATAAAATTTTCTGTATGATAAAATAATTTGAATTGAATAATATATTGGGTTAGAATGTAATCTGAGTGTTGTTTTTATACAATTAATGAAAAGTATTTTTGCAGACTATAAAATAGTGCCAAAAAGTGTTTGTATTCAAATTTCAAGTATCTTTTAATGTTCCCTCTAGTTCATAAAGTACAATAAGGAATACAGGCAACATGTTCTACACACATGTGCTTATGAGTAAGAGAGGGCCATTGGCCAAAATATGGCTTGCAGCTCACTGGGAGAAGAAACTAACAAAGGCCCATGTATTTGAATGTAACCTAGAGATAACCATTGAAAAAATTATTTCACCTAAGGTATGTTATTGATGAAAATGATCATTTGTATTTTATGTAACTTGTGGAAAGAAATGATTAAAATATATTTATACCATGAAATATATCTTCATTAATATACAAATAGTTTTTTTCTATTTTAATCCCTATAATTTTTAATATAGCATATATTGTTGTCTGTTGGTAATTAAATGTATTATATGTTTTTCATAAATAGTTTGGACTCTCGATGATAAAAGTCTTGTTTTACACTGTATATGTTTTATACTTTCTTATTCCCTACCAGAATACTTTATATATAGAATGTACCTATTAGAGGAATAATTAATTAATAAGGAAAGTCGAAGAAAAAAAGATTATGTGTGAATCAAAATATATGTTATGTGAAACACTTAATAAACAATATAGTATTCATTATAAAATACTATATTGTTATTATTAGAATTTACATTAGAATTCTTAAACTGATGCCATATTTTTAAAGGCTGACATTTTTTCAGTTTGAGAGAAAGATAAAATATTGAAAACGTGTGTCCAGCAGTAGGCTAAACTTTATGCTCATTAATTTATGTAATCCTCACAACAACCCCATGATGGAGATTTTTTTGTCCAGTAAAGTTTGGTAGTTAAGAGCATGACTTTTGAGTTGATCAAAACATTAGTTGTACTTTCAACACTACCACTTAATAGTTGTGATTCTTTGGGCCTGCTACTTCACATACATGAGTATCAGTTTTTTGTTGTTGTTTTTTCTGTTTGTATATAGAGGTGCTAAATAAATTGATGTGTGAAAGTCACAATGCCAGGCCAAAAAGATAAGTCTATACATTATCTTCAAAAGCTGGAAACTGTGTATGGCAAAACTATCTATCAGAGAAGATAAACTCAAATTTTTCCCAATAAAATAGCTGTAGAAGAGTTATAACACTGCACCTTGTCAAAGGTGGCAACCTTGTGAGGACAAAAAAAGGCAGTTCTATCAAGTTCCATTGTCCTATCAAGGTTTCATTGTAATAAATTAATAGCCACTATTAACAAGTTTAGGAAGATTAAGTGACTCAGCCTCAGCAAATGAGTGAAGGCTTCAGCCCTGGTCTGCCTGACTCTAGAGTATATAGTTTTCTTATAACATCATTAATAATAGTATTACATGCATCATAAAATTATCTTCATTGAATAAGGAAAAAGGTTTATAAATCATTTTTAAAAGGCGAGGTAAAAAGTGATGTGAAATGCCTTCTGAGGAAGAAATTCTCACGATTTCAGTAATTTTCAAAGAATAGTCTTATGGACCTATTCAAATATTCTTAAACTTAAAATTTTTTTGAAAGGTGAAAATTGCACTTCGAACTTCAGGACATCTTCTTTTGGGAGTTGTTCGAATCTATAATAGGAAGGCAAAATACCTTTTGGCAGATTGCAGTGAAGCATTTCTTAAAATGAAGATGACATTTTGTCCAGGTATTGGTACAATATTTATTGCCTCATCTTGATTTCCTTTTGTATCTTTACAGCACTCTATAAAAGTCAGAATGAGACTAGTGAGTGTAAGCTGCCTTTTGATTAAATCTAAGCTTTCATGGTTAGGAATAAATTATACTCTTTCCTTTGTTGTTTTTTGTATTTGAAGGAAAAGGTCATGCTTTCCAAAGCTTGTAATATTCTTACACATTTATATAAGAAATATGCTTAAAGTCACCACATTTGTGTAAGAAACTCTGATATTTGATTTTCAATGGGTCCGTTAGTTTGCTGTAAAACTCTGGTGGTACAGAGGTTAAGCACTTAGCTGCTAACCAAAAGGTTGGTGTTTCAAATCCACCAGCCCATCTGCAAGAGAAAGATGTTGATTGTAGTACATTTCTGTAGATTGGAAACTATGGGCAGTTCTACTCTTTCCTATAGGATTACTGTGAGTTGAATCAACTCCATGACAATGGGTCTTGTTTTGCATTGGTTATTTTGCTGCATCTCTTTTTGTCTTTACCCTATGAACAGAGTAATTAACAAAACCTAAATATCTATAATTGCCATTGTTTTTACTCAAGACTCAAACTAGCATGCTATTTATGAATTACAAGCATACCTTGGAGATATTACAGGTTCAGTACCAGACCACTGCAATAAAATGAGTCACACAATTTTGTTTGTTTTCTAGTGCATATAAAAGTCATATTTACACTGTACTTTAATCTATCAAGTGTGCAATAGCATTATGAAAAAATTTGAAATATTGTGACAATGACCAGAATTTGACACAGAGACATGAAGTGAGCACATGTTGTTGGGGAAATGGCACCAATAGACATGTTTGACACAGGGTTGCCCCAAACCTTCAATTTGTAAAAAACACAGTATCTACAAGGCACATAAACTGATACTTAATAAAACGAGGAATGCTTGTATTAGAGGAAATCCCTAGGCGCGTCAAAATGCTAGAGATAGACATGTGTCATAAATACAATGCCTTCAAATGTTAATTCACAAAGAATCTGTTCCCTTCAGATTATCATCATTTTCTCACTTGCATTACAGTTATATAGGTACAGGTCTTGTCTCTCTCACAATTTTGTAAGTTTCTTGAAAGCAGAGACTTAGTTGTAGCCATTTTCTGAATTCCTGCATATGTATCTTAGTGCCTTAGACATACTATTCCCTTAGTTGCTATTGTTGAATCAGCATTGACAGATGTCTTTTTTTCCTTTATTTATTTAAAGCATTTGTAGGATTTCTAGGTAGATTTCTACTCATACCAAGTATGGTTCGTTTGTTGTTTTTTGTTCATTATTTCATTTATACATTCTGCAAATAATTTTGATCCTATTCTTTGTGCCAAATGCCATTTTAGTTGTGGGATACAAGGACAAACAAGACAAGTAAGGTCCCTTTCAGTCTGTTGAGAGAACCAGGTAATAAGATTTAAAAAAAAAAAAAACTATTTAGATAATTACAGACTGCTAGTATGATGAAGGGGAATAGAGCTCTGCAATAGAAATGAACAGAAATTCACTTTAGCTAGGATAATTGGGAAAAGTCTTACTGAGGGGATAAAATTTTAGCTCAGGCTTGAGGAATGAGAAATACCCAACCATATAAAAAGTTCCCGAGGGAAGGACATTCTGGGAAGAGGGAACTGTAAGAGCAAATTTCTTGAAGTAGACAAGTGTGTGACTTGTTCAGGGGACACAAACATTGGAGTATAGCGAGTGAGAGGAAGCATGCCATTAAACACCCAACAGGTTTGTAGAGTTGCAGAGCTTCCTATTAGAATGTGGATCTTATTTAAGTTAAATTGGAAATCACTGAACCATAATTTAAGTTTAGAAATGATCTGATCTGATTTACTTTTTAAAAATAACACTCAGGCTGCGTTATAGAGAATGGACTGCAGAAGGGCATAAGTGGAAACAGGGAAATTAGTTAGGTGGCTAAACACTATGCCAAGGGGATAAAATAAGGTTTAGTTTAGAGTTTCTTATTTCACATAGAATCATTGCTTTTTAAATATGTTTCTTAATTTCTTTCAGGACTAGTTGACCTTCCAAAAGAGAATTTTGAAGCAGCTTATAATGCTATCACATTGCCAGAAGAATTTCATGATTTTGACTTCCAGAATGTGAAGTAAATGATTTCTTTTCCATCAATATTACTGATAGATTATTGTTTTTATATTCAGATTTTATGAAAGCAAATGGGATGTAGTTAGCGGTTGAATAATATGGATATATTTTGAAGGCAGAGCCAATAAGATTTGCTCATATTTGTTTACATTTGCTCATATTTGCTTAGATATGACTAAGAGAAAGAGTGAAGGATGACTGTGTCATTTTGACACAAGAATGGAGTTGCCACTTCATGAAATTAGGATAACTAGGAAACAATGGAACAGAGCAAAGGAAGTAAATTAGAGTTTAAACATAAATTCTGAGATGACAGTGAACCCTGGTGGTACAGTGGTTAAACACTCAACTGCTAATCAAAGATCTTCAGACTGAATCATAAGGTCACCTGCCCCATGGGAGAAAGATGTGGAAGTCTACTTCTGTAAAGATTGCAGTTTTAGAAACGCTGTGGGGGAGTTCTGTGTTTTTAGGGTTGCTATGAGTCGATTAATTCCATGGCAATAGGATTGATTTTGTATTTGGTCTGAATGACTATTGTTACACATCCAAGGAGAAGTAGGTCTGTATTTTAGAAGAGAGGTCTGGGTTGGATATATATACTTTTGGGATTTGTGAGTATATAGATGGAATTCCAACCATGGGCCATGATATATGCTCAAGGGAGTTAATGTAGAATTAAAAGAGAAAATATTCTGAGGACCCACAATTCATCTGTCAGTTTGTCATACTGTGGTGACTTGTATGTTGCTGTAATGCTGGAAACTATGCCACCAGTATTTTAAATAGCAACAGGGTCACCCAAGGTGGACAGGTTTCAGTGAAGCTTCCAGACTAGGAAGGAGAGGCAGACCACTTCTGAATGGTTAGCCACTGAAAACCTTATCAATAGCAGAAGAACATTGTCATATATAGTGCCATAAGATGAGTACCACAGGTTGGAAGGCACTCAAAATACTACTGGGGATGAGGTACCTCCTCAAAGGAGAGTTGATCTTAACAACATGAATGGAGTTAAGCTGTCAACATCTTCATTTGCTGATGATGCACAACTCAAAATGAGAAGAAGCAACTGTAAACATACATTAATAACTGGTACTAAGATGAAAGAGCAGAGATGTCAGCTTGAGGACTAGGGTGCGCCTGACTCAGGCCATTGTGTTTTCAATAGCCTCATATGGATGCGAAAGCTGGACAGTGAAT